CAGAGAACTGGTTTATCATTAGCTGATCTACATTCTCTTCATTAGAGAAAGTCAAGATTCACCTGCACAATTCATGGCAAATTTACAAAAAGTCTTGTAGAAAATATGCTTGACAGTTTATGACAACTAGATCAACCTTTTTGCATTTATTGACTTATACGATGAACTAATGCCTAGAGGTTTTGAGGGGAAAGACTATTGCACAGAGAACTATATAATACATTTTGAGCAACGTGACAATAGCAACTGATAACGCAGGAAACTGCAGACAAATGTACATAATCAGTTGCATGAATGTACCAAAGCAATCGAGAAACTGCTTTTATGGTGTGCACGAGTGACTAGATGATGTGGAGGTTAAAGAAGTTCATTTCTGATCTGAGAAATGCACCAAAGCCACTGAGAAAAACTGTAACCCTAAACAAACTCTAACAAGTCCATAGCTATCTTCAGACAGATATGTGCATTTCATATAACGTTCTATCTAAACAAGCACAAACATACATCGAATATAGTGACGTAGTGTTGGATGAGATCCTCGATGACTCGGCCGGCGCTGTAGTCCTTCCCGTCCGCCTGGAAGAGAGTCGGTCCGAACACGATGGCCAGATTGTGAAGATTCATCTGATTGAGATCCGCAAACCGCTGCACGCTGCAAACACACACACATCAGGTATTGACTTGATTTAAGATCAATGCCACATCAGCTTCACAGCCAAAGATTATACATCAGAAAAACAAGACAGTAGTACACACACAATACAAAATACACACATTAAATAACGCTATTGTAAAGTTTTGTACATAAAATTCTATAAAAGATTCTTTAAATTTACTTTTGGAAGAAATTGTAAAAGGTTTTCTGGGTCCAAGTCCTTAAGAGTTCGTCCTGATAATAACATTTGTCTCATGACATTAAATATTGTGCAGATCAAAAGCACGTTTCCCGCGATATTGACATTTTGGTGCTTCTTCACCAATCAATAAATGAGTTAATCTAGTAAGTCCGACACAACTTGGTCATGCCTAGATTTAAATGAATAAAAGAAGAGTTTATTTGCAAAAACAGATAACTCCGTTTTTTAACATTTTCAAAAATCATGTTTTTTTATTTTTATTGTTATCATGTTTTTGTTGTGTTTTATTTAGTGCTGCCAAACGATTAATCGCGATTAATCACATCCAAAATAAAAGTTTTTGTTTACATACTATATGTATGTGTGCTGTGTATATTTATTATGTTTATATAAATACACACACATGCATGTATATATTTCAAAAAAAAAAAGTATGTTTATTAAATATATTTATTTATTTATAATATAAATTATATTCATATAAATATAGACATGTAAATATTTTCCAAATATATACTGTATGTGTGTGTGCTTTATATACATAATAAATATACACAGAACACACACATATATTATACAAACAAAAACCTTTATTTTGCATGCGATTAATCACGATTAATAGTAGTTTTATTGTGTTAGTTAGCTGTATTTTTTTGTTATTTTTTAACCTAATCAAACTAACCCAACTGCAGTGTGATTGAGATTAAATTTGAATGCACAATGAAAAACATGATTTTTGAAAATTGTTAAAAATGGAGTTATCCGTCTTTGCAAATGAACTCTTCAAATATATCTCGTTCCTACAACAGAATTTACTTCAAAAAGTTTGCCATTCTTCCCATTCCGCCTGCCATTTCTCCAATATGCATCTGTTGATTCACATCAGAAGGTCTGAAAGAGACGTTTAACACTTCTCTGAAAGGAGAGCTACGAGGAAGTGCTCTATGAGAAAGAGGAAGAGCGTTGGTCTCACCAGTATAAATGATTAACTAGCGCTCGTAGCGTCGCCTGATTGACTCGGGGAAGGTTACTGAACAGAAGACGATACTGACAGATCCGACTGCTCTCATCTGAAAAAACTGAACACACACACAATATGACAACTGGATTATTTCAGGTGTATTCATATTTATATTAAGGCAAGACACTGTAGGCAAAACCATTGCTTTTGCTTTCTTCACTTGTCTTCTTTCAGACTAGTGAAAAATAAATACAAAAATACACATTTAAGTGTTTATTTTATTGTACTTTTTCCATTTGCATCTGTAAATTTCAATTACAATATACATTTTTATCTTGAGTTTGTTTCTCCACTTCAGCAGCACTTACATACACCAAAGGTTTTTACTGAGGGGTTTGTTCATTTTTCATTCACACTGATTTATACAACATTTTATTCATAAAAACATGGTGAAAATGCATATTTTTAAAGGCAATTAGTTTGTTTCTCCACTTCAGCAGCACCAAAACTTAGAGTTTTTACTGAGGGGTTTGTTCATATTAGTGGTCGACCGATATATCGCCAAGGCCGATATATCGGCCGATATTTGGAATTTTTTCAAATATCGGCATCGGCCGATAAGTTTTCCTGTTTGGCCAATATGTTCGAGGCGGGACTTTTATTTTGAGGGCGCTGAGAGTGACAGCGCCTGAGCGCACACCGCTCACATTCTCCCTTTTGTTCGCTGTCGTCGTTCAGTTCTGTCTAATATGGATAGAAATCTATCTAATAATCAGATAGAACTGTTAAACAAAGGAATTAAATTGTATACAAAAAAGTATTATAACGATTGCTTTAATATTATTAGTAATAATAAAAAATAAAATTATATCGGCTTTATATCGGCCACCCTGCTTTTTTTTCAAATATCGGCATTGGCCGATAAGTTTTCCTGTTTGGCCAATGTGTTCGAGGCGGGACTTTTATTTTGAGGGCGCTGAGAGCGACAGCGCCTGAGCGCACACCGCTCACATTCTCCCTTTTGTTCGCTGTCGTCGTTCAGTTCTGTCTAATATGGATAGAAATCTATCTAATAATCAGATAGAACTGTTAAACAAAGGAATTAAATTGTATACAAAAAAGTATTATAACGATTGCTTTAATATTATTAGTAATAATAAAAAATAAAATTATATCGGCTTTATATCGGCCACCCTGCTTTCCAAGATATCGGCATTGGCTGTCAAAAAACCCATATCGGTCGACCACTAGTTCATATATTACTCACACTGATTTATATAACATTATTTTCCTAAAAACATGGTAAAATTCAGTACAACAGGAGGAAAAAATACTAAACATACATATATATATATATATATATATATATATATTTAAATTAAACAATGTTTTACTGAACAAATTGCTCTCTTTAAATAAATTCAATTAGAATTCAAATTTTCTTTAAATCTACCTCATAAAATAATTTTTAAAAATCTATAAAAATCTACCTCTGCTCTAAACTATAGGGAGCCCTTTTACATTAGGCCTACTATAAGGTTACAACTAACAAACTTAAATTAATTACCATTTATTTTTAACTATAATAATCAACACTCAAATTAACAAATTGTATGCAGACATGTAAACTGCACTCAATGCAGTTTTTAAATTAACTTCAAAATTATACAATTTCTATTTGTTGTTGAAATATAATCATTTAGGTGTCATAACTTGTTTCATAAAATATTTATTAAAATATAGCCTACATTAAATAATTAAGACGTCACTAACAGGTAAAGTAAAATATAATGAGTAGCTATACAGTCTAATATTTCACGAAATGCTCTTCTCTAGACTTCATTTCTCTGGTGAACTAACGAGCTGTAGACACTGATGACTTGCCTGAGGTAAATTAAATGCTGTGACATTTTGTTTACAAGCTGTTTTAATCACATCTTTCCGCGATTGAGCGATTACATGAGGCATGAGATGTTCATTCATGTTTATTTCACATTAAAACTAGTAGTAAAGAGCAAGGGATGATGGCGCTCCGCATCACAAAACGGCATTTATTGTCTGAATTTCCTGAAAAAATGTAATGTTTTGTTCGGTACACATGCGCACCGATCCGTAAATATTCGGTATGAATATGTGCACCATTACACCCCTATAATATACCTGTAGCACTGAGCCAGCTGTGCGCCTCCAGGCCAAACAATCCCTCCTCGATGCCTCTGAAGAAGCGCTTGAGGACGTTGGAGACGTCATCCACCTGATGTTCACCTTCCTTCAGCCAAACACATCTGGCGTCGCGTCTGAACTCCTCCAGCAGGGCGGCGATCTTACTGTTCACGCCACTCTTACGGTAGATTCCCTCTGAGGTCAGACCTGCAGGACACACACACACCATCATTACACACGGGAACACACACTTATGATGTTTAACGGACCCCTAAACCACATAATATTAACTGAATAGGGGTGTAACGGTACACAATCATCACAAAGTCACGGTTCGGTATGGTTTTGGTACAGCAGGAGGAAAAAAACTTAACATAAATGGCTTTTTCTTTTAATTAAACAATGGTTTACTGAACAAATTGCTCTTTTTTTTTTATAAATTCAGTTATAATTAAAAATGTCTTAGGAATAAAAATCTACCTCAGCTTCTGCTCTAAACTATAGGGAGCACTTTTACATTACTATAAGGTTACAATTAAAAACAGAGCCCAAACTTAAATTCAATTGCTATTTTTTTAAACTATAATAATCAACACTCAAATTAAAAATAAATTAATAAATTGTATGCAAATATGTAAATTGCACACAATGCAATTTTTAAATTAAATTCAAAATTAAACAATTTATATTTGTTGTTGAAATATAATCATTTACACAGCAGCTGTCATAATTTGTTTCATAACACATTTAATTAAACATACATTAAATAATTAAGACATCACTAACAGGTAAAGTAAATAGTCTAATATTTTGCGAAATGCTTCTCTCTAGACTTCATTTCTCTAACGAACTAACGAGCTGTAGGCACTGATGACTTGCCTGAGGTAAATTAAATGCTTCTGTAAAACTGCTTTGAAACAATGTGTATTATAAAAGGCACTACACAAATAATTGTGATTCGGCTTGAGTTTTCTGGTTAGTAATTCAGTTTATCACTGCTTTCAAGTCCGTAAATTTGTCAAGTGTTTTGTTGTTAATGTTTCTACCATGTGACACACTCTATGCTTTTACTCCTGAACAGAGTTCTGTCTGACAGTCACCTGATTCACAGACACATCAGTCCAAATGAATCATGAAAATGAATCAGACGTCTGCAGGGACACATTTACTGTCGTGGTTTCATGTCATCATCTGTTAAGTAAAGTGTACATCTAGGAGCTCATTAACTCTCAGTAGGTGAGCTCACTGTTTAATACTAGTTAGTTAGATAAAGATCACATGATCACTGAGACACAAGAGGAATCTGTTGTTTAAGTGAAGTTTTTGTGATGTGTGTGTG